TAAGTGTACCATTTAGATTAGTTTCTCAAGATGAATATTTGTTAAATGCTGTGAAATAAACTGAACAGATGCAGAAAATACAGACATTGTTGGCTGCAGTACATTGGAAAAAATTTCAATCGAAGTCTAAACTGATATTATCAAAAATATATTTTACTATCAATTAACTTGATTATACAGTCGTGCAGTCAATTTTAAGCTAAATCAATCCACTAAGCTGTCGACAATACACGATACAAGCTTGTCAAGCCACGAGTTTTTAGCTGCAAATTTTCTAGATGTACTGGGAGTCGTACAATTTATGAACACCAAAAACAATTCATGCACTGCAAATCTACAGAAAGAAAAAAGGATTGATTATATTGTTTTCCCAGATTTCATTCAGCACAAATTAGTTCAAAATTGTATGTGTGAATATACATAATATATTGTTATAGGTTTAGGTAGATGATAAAAGCACAAAAAAAAGGTAATAAATCAATAAAAAGAGTGCTAAATTGGTACCTAATGAAGTCTGTAGCAACAATATTCACTTAGCTTTTGGTCTGATCTCAATCCCTTAAATGATGACACCATTCTTCCAGTTTCCACCTTTTGTCTCCATCAAACTTATTTCCATATCCAAATCTTGTTCTTCATCCACGAAAAACTTTCCCAAGTCAACTTGCCGTCTATATAATGCGCTCTGAGGACAAATCACCTTGCCATCTAGTGTTAATTTCATTTCAGCTTCAACAATTTTCCTTTCCAAATCCCTAAAAAGGTCACAATAAAAGTTCACAAGAATATGAAAAGAGAAGTTAAATCTACAAAAGATCGTGCATACGAACTCAAGAATATCAAGCACGAATACATGAAGTTATGAATAAAAATAAAATTACATATTTTTCAGAAACTTGAAGTTCATGGAAAATCAATTCAAGTTACAAATAATCACTTCTAATTTCAATGTTAAGGGCCAATTCTTTGCTGAATAAAAAAGTATGAAAATAGAACTATAATGTCCCATATAGAGCATGCATGATGTGTGTTATAATATAGAGTGAAAGATCGGCAAAAAGTTTCATGATACAAAATTTGATGTGCGGAATGAAGAAATGCCTCCATCCAAGCTTGATGGAGGCATGGATGGAGGGATTTCTTCATGCCTCCATCCCTCCATCCAAGCTATGGAGGCCAGGAGAGATGCCTCCATCCAACTTAGAAAGGGTGATCTTGCACAGGTGTGATCTTACTACTCATATATCAAAATATTTTTTCACAATCCATATGTATTTTTTGTATATTTTCACTTTGC